ACAATTTTACATGAATCTTCAAGTAATTTTTTGTCTATGCCTGTTATGGAAAGTTTTCCTGAAACATATATAATATATTGTTTTGTTATGATACCTTATTTTTTATATATATGATATATATATATGATATGATAATTTAAATTATTTATTGACTAGTGAATCATTCCCAAAGAAGAAATATAAGAATGTATTACAGAAAACTTTTTGGGTTCAGCTTTTAATTTTCAAAATATAGGAAACATTTGCTTGGAAAAATTCAAACAGATAAGAGGTAGTTAAGAGAATTTAAAAGTACAGAAAATGTAAAGGCAAGCCATTCTAAATAGAGAAATATGAGATGTGTATGTGTGTGTTTGTATAAGACAGGATCTGTTGCACATGTTTCTCAGTCTGGCCTGGCTTCAAAGTCCACTCTGCTGCCCCTACCGCTAGAGGATCTGGAACTAGAGGTGCATACCACCATGCTTGGCTTTTACGTTTCTATTCTATTGCTAGTGCCACTGTTTGTGTGGGTATTATGGAAGTTACTGACATCTAGACTGCAATAATCTCAGCTATAGAAACTAGAATTCCAAAAACTGCCAACTACAGCTTCATGTGAAAATAAATGATACTGTGACATAATAACAATGAAGAATCCACCATGGGCTTACTAGACTATCTGAAAACATACACTTTACTTAGAAAGATAAAACTTCTAAACATTAAATCGCATACACAGGATCCTAGTGTTTAAGCTGGAGACAAAAAGGATGTGGGGTGGTTTTCTTCTCTTCAAAACCAGGGCAATAGGCCTCTGTAGTTTCCTCCATTCCTATTTCTTCTTTTTGTTTTGTTTTGTATGTTTAATTACGTACCACTGAACTATACCCCTGAGCCCACTCCCTTCTTTTCTTTTCTACTTCGAGACAGGTAAAGCTAACTTACCCTTGCTGGCTTTGAGCTTACACTGTAGCCCAGGCACACCTTGACTCTGCAATCCTCCTCTCTTAGTCTACCCAAGTAGATGGGATTACAGGATGGTACCACCAGGTCCCTACTCTAGTTTTGCTTAGAAAGAGATGAGAGAAAAGAGAAACTTGTAAGGAGAAAAATAGGAAAGGGAAGGATAAGACAAAAGGCAACAGTCTCAGAAGTTCGTATTGACATTGGTTTCTCTAGGAAAGGCTGTAGCCTACCCCCAAATGGGGGAGTTAGAGAAGTTATGAAACGAATTTAAAGAATTCATTTTCAGATCCTTCTAAAACTTGGATACTAATATTGTATGGTAAATCTTAGTTTTGATTCTGAGTGACTGTTTCTTTTACATAGGAGGCCCGGCAAACCAGGAGGGGAAAGCAAACTCAGTCAACAAGGAAGTGCAGATTGTGTTTGTTCATCGTCCTAGAGTTTCGCTAGCTGGCAGTTTTCTATCACATATAAAGTGCAACTCAGTGGGACCTAGTGAGTGTGAGCCTCCACTCGCTGTGATCTAAGGAGCTACGACTGCTGGTCCACGAGGGCTGCATGGACCACACAGCCACCCTTGGTCATTCCCATGAACATTACTGACAGTTCAGTCTCGGTAACGTGAAGTATTTGAGTGAGAAAACAAAGTAAAAACCAAGCAATAGACGTATAATTTGGGGGCTCAACTAGAGCATAAATGCTACTGCTTTACTTGACAATAAATCTCAGAAAAAGCCAAGCACATTAAGGAATAGCAGGAACTCATCTTCTGCAGGTACTAACACTTAGCAGAAGTAAACATAGACCAACACCTATCACATTCACCTGTGGTGAGCGACGCAGGGGGCCTGTTGTACACAGGGCCTTCAGTACACATTCTAAACTCACATTTGACATGCCGAGAGTCCTGAAATGGTTACGTCTGAAGGTGGCCCATTAGAATGAAGTGGGATTACTCGCTGGTGAAAAGGAAAGGTAGTAATCATGGCCCCTGCCAATTCTCCCACCTCCAAACTCTAGCCTGTGTCCGGGAAACTAAATTAAAACATGAGCGACATATAGCTATTTACAGTCCTAAATTACAAAATGTCAAATGGAGATTTACCTTTGTTTTTTTTAGCTGAATAACAGCTTCAAGAAAAGTTATGTCTTCAAACGTCCTCAGAACCGGTTCAAGTTCTATTAAGCATTCTAAATAAGAAAAAAACAAAACAAAACAAAACTCAACAATTTTAAGTTCACATTGCTTCTAATAAATAAATTGAAATGTTAGCATTCATTTCCTAAGGCTCCATGTCAATCCTTCACTAACGTGATGACATCCAATTGTAGGAGTTCTTATCGCTGGCATAAACAGACTTGATGATCAACAGAGCAGAGTCGGTAGCCTAAAAAACGATCCATTACAATTCTGGTAAACTTACTTTCAAAAGAGGGCCTGAAATTCGACAAGGCAAGGACAGTCTTTCAAAATACACTATACTCAGACATTTAGATAACCACATAAAAACAGGTTAGTTATCCTCTTACCATACACCATGCATAAAAATTGACTCAAAATTAATCATTCACTTAAATAGAAATAGGAGAAAATATTCAAAACCTTGAGTTAGGGAAATTTCTTAGATATGACATCAAAAATAAGATTCATAAAAACCTGGACTTCCAAAAACAATTTTTAAAACTGTACTCTAGAGAAAGGTTATTCTTAAGGAAAAATGCAAAGCCACAGACTTCGGGTAGGGGAGGACAGTCAAGCCGCATATCTGCTAATGGACTTGAGTCTGACAAGACACAACGTGTGAAGGATTCTTACAGGCTGGGCCAGCAAGAGGTTAAGTGGGTAAAAGCGCTTGCTATGCAAGCCTGGCTGCCTTAGCCTGATCCTAGCACCATGGAGGAAGGGAAGAACCAAGTCTTGAAAGTAGACCACAGATCACTGATGGATGCTTGTACACACACACACACACAGAGAGAGAGAGAGAGAAAGAGAGAGAGAGAGAGAGAGAGAGAGAGAGAGAGCGAGAAGGAGGGAGAGAACACAGGTAAACGTCTGAATTGTCCTCCTGGTCTGCATGTCTCGTACGTCTACTTTGTACACATCAGCACCAGTTTTCTGGTCTCGCATCTCTATGAAACCGCAAGTGGGGCTGAAGAGATGCTCAGAGGTTAAGAGCACACACTGTTCTGCACCCAAGTTTGTTTCCTAGAACCCACATCCGACAGCTTACAACTGCCTGCCACCCCAGTTCCAGAGAGATGCAAGGCCTCTGGCCTCAGCAGGTACTTGTACTCTCATATACACACATGCACACAGATACAAACAAAACACAAACTAAAAAAAAAAAAATCTTTCAAAAGAACAAGTTACATTTGTACGTGTTACCAATGACGAGCGTGAGAAAAATCTTTCTTTTTTTTGAGATCAGGGACTTGGATCTTTATTACCCAAGTTGGCCTCAAACACCTGACTTCATCAGAGTCTCCTGCTCTAGCCTTTTCCTGCTGCACTCGGCTGGGGACCTGCTCACACGACAGTCAGACGTGACTGGCCACACTCCCTTTTCCTTCTGGCTCCTTCCTAGACATATGAGACTACACCGTGGATGTCCTTCCTTTGCTATTTTCTTGTTTTTTCACACAATTTCTGAGAAATGCCTCAGAGGTCTAATATGGATATTTTATTCTTTGCTGTCAGGCTAAATTCTCCATCTAGGGTGATCTAGTCTAAATTACTTGTGAGCTAGCGATGCTTGATTTTTTTATCATAAATCCTAGATTCTTCCTTGGATAAAAATGTTTATATGGCTATTAAAGTATTTGCTGGTTATATGAAGCATGCCTATATGATTAGGCATACACAATCAGCAATACCTGAGGGTTTCATTGCTTTCAATCACACCAACATGTCATTATTTGTCTTTCTTACTGTACCTGTTTTAATGGGCTTCAATTGGTATCTCACTGTATGTATTTCCTAGTGATGTAAAAAGCCCTTTTATATGCTTTTTCATCAATTATATATTTTCTTTGATGAAACTCTAATCTCCAATTTTTAAAATTTATTATTTGTCTTGTTATTGACTTAGTCAGAATTCTTTTTATTTCCTCTTACAAGTTCTTTCAATAGATATATGATATGGAAATATATTCCCACCATCTGCATTTTGTCCTTTCATATTTTAGTAGTTTATTTATTTCTGCAAGTGTGTGTGTGTGGGATGTAAGCATACTGTTTGCATGTATGTGTGACTGCAAAGTCCAGTAGTTCACAATAGCTATCTTGACTGCTCTATACCTTATCTATGGAGGCCGGGTCTCTCCCTTGAACTCAGAGCTCTCCATTTCTGGCTAGTCTAGCTAGTCAGCTGGGATTACAGGCAGGCTGCACACCAGCAGGGCACATGGGATATATAATATAAGTATTTAGAGTCCTCGGGTTTGTATGGAACACAGTTTCTCCCCTGCACCAGCTCCTCGGCCTGAGACTTAGAGTACAAATTTCTAATTATTTTAAAGTCCAATCTCCACATTTATGTATTTAGTGAAAAATTTTTAGATCCTTTGGATTGGAATCTAAGAACTGTGCCTAACCGAGGTCTTAAGATTTTCTCCTGTTTACATTCAGAGGCCTGATGGTTCTTTCTCCTAAATGTATCTTAATTCTGAGTAATTTTTCTCTGACCAGAATTATCACCTTAGTTAGTCGATCCCTGAGGGAGTTTCCTAGCTGCTTTTTTGTTCTTCTCTGGCCTCCCCTAGCCACTTCCCCATACAGCAGTCACGAGTGATTTTGGCCTGAACTTAAATTAGATCATACTGTCTCCAGAAGAGATTGTGAGAATGGCTGGTCACCGTGCTTGGAATCCAGCTCTGGGCGTGGTGAGCACCTGCTCCTTTGCTTTCTAGGGCATCTTTACCACAATCTTGGTTCGCTATGCTCTAGCGATGAGGGCTGTCTCTTTATTCCTTGGAAACACAAAACACTCCTCTTCTAGTCTCAGAACCTTCGACTCTCTCCATGGTCTGGAGGACGCGCTCTGTCTCAGGTGTTACGCAGCTCCTCCCAGCACTCTCTCCGGTATCGCTGCCTTTGTGTCCTTACAGGACCTGACTCCACGGCGTTTGTGTCCTTACAGGACCTGACTCCACGGCGTTTGTGTCCTTACAGGACCTGACTCCACGGCCTGTGTCATGACCAGTGTCGTAGGGATCCGCTTGTTTTCCCAGTGCTTTCTCCAGGAGAACGTTAAGCCGAGATGTGGTTTTCTTCTTCTCTGCTCCCTGCGCTCCTCCAGTGAGGAGAGAGCACGAGGCAGGTGTTCACTAAGTGAATGGAATACTACCCCTACCAAACAATGCCACTTTTCTGTTAGAAATTCTCAGATCTTTAGAAGCAATCTTTACCTACATATAAATACAATGAATAACAAGAGCAAAGTAATTTATAGAATAGTTTCAGAGAGGCATAGTTTTTCAAGGAATACTTATAGCATACTAACAATTCCTATAACTTAAGGTCCAGATTACAACTGTCCACTCACTCAAGAAAGACGGCCTTTCATCTGGGTTCTGTGCCCAGCCACTCTGTATCAGAGAGACCATGAGACCCCGGTGAGGAACATCAGACGGCAGGCTCTCCTCGCTCGTGTCCGGCCGGCGGCCCTGGGACACACTGTACATGATCTGCAAAGGATTGGTGACCTCTGTCAAAACAAATACATTTCATTAACCGGAAAGATGTTCCTAACATTAGTCAGAAAAAAGGAGGCAATCTTCAAGTGTCAGACCAATTCATTATGCCCTTTTCTGTAAGCGGACGTATCTGCCAGGCAGTGACAGGCCTGTGAGCCACACATGGGACATGAGCAGAGCTGAGCCAGGCAGAGCTCAGCAGAGCCGAGCAAAGCCAACAAGGGACAGCCAGGGACAGTTAATATGAATGAGAGATGGATGTTATCCGCTGAGTCACTGAAATGCTGAAAGTATTCATTACAGAACAAGCTGAATACTACAAACTAAAAAAGCTCCAGTTTATCTGGGAAAGACAAAGAATTATTTTTCAACATTTGTTGGTATTTGTAGAAGGAATAATAGTTAAAATCTCATTTTGCAAAGAACAAAAATGAGGACTTGAGATTCACAAAAGAACTAGAGTTTAGATTATTCTCACCCTTAAGTCAAGTACACCCTTCACGACTGATCCTTAATCTAGTGTACTGTGTAGCCTGCAGTAGATGCATAGCTGAAAAGTTGTTAGGTTTTGACAGTGTGGTTTGTGTACACAATGAATGGCAGATATGTTTAAATTCTGACAAGCTTTAGATAGCTCTGAATGTGCACCAACATCTTGATATCTTCTGAAATAAGTAAATCAAGGGCATACGTACCTTCAAAAGGCTGCTTTCTTGATAAGACTTCCCACATGATAATTGCATAGCTGTTTAAGTTAAAAAGTTATATATCATAAGTGAACTTTGTACATTAACTTAAGTAAAATTATTTAAAAATGAAACCATTTTTGAAGACAATAGGTAATGAAATGTTCTATGAGGAATCACCATATATAGTCAGGGTAGTGAATATTCATGCATGTCTGAAAGGGAATCAACCTTTGTTTTAAAAAAGAATTAATTTTAATTAAAAATATAAAGTTACCACAAAAATGGCTTAGTGCTATATACCAGGAAAAATATTTGTGATAACTTGTTACTCTGAACATCCAGATAAAATGTAACCTCTAATCAGATGTTCCTAATTTTCCCACAAAACTAAAAGTAATAAAAGAAGTTTTTCTAGTATAGCACCATTCTTCTGACTTCTCCTGGTTTCAAGATTGTCTTTTCCTAGTGCAAAGGTTTTGATGACCATTACATTTCAGCTACAAATCACCTAGTTAAGCTGAACAGAGTATACATCTGAAATAAAAGGGAAGAAAATAGGAATTCTGCAGTATCTCCAAGTGAGTTACATACTCAGAAAGGATACCTGAACTTGATTAGGCGTGGCAGCACAGAATCTTTGAGGAAAATGAGGATTACAGAAAAAAATTCCACCCAAGCCAAGGAAAATTATTTCCTCACTTTTTCCCCTTATAGAGTTTAATATAAAATCTAATTCACAAAATGAATGATAAATACATTGAAATTAGTCTGTTTTCAAATTCCTGATACTAATAAGGGAGAAAGTACAGAACAAACACTAATCCAAGCTACCAGAAAAACAGCCAACCAGACTACAGCAATAGTAAGTACCCCTGAATTGTAACCTTAAACGAAAACGGCCTCAACTCGCCTTGCTGGAGGCAGCATTGCTGGATTAAGAAACAAGAGCCTACTTTCTGTTGTCTCTGAGAATCATATCTATTGGTAAAGATAAAACAATCTATCAAAAACCAAGTAGTTATTCTGGTGATAGAGCCTACTTCCACCCAGCATTAGTCAGAAGAGAGAAGGAAACGATGACTTCACCAAGAAGTCATAGCTGTAAACGTACAGGCAGCAAACTCTGGCACTCCCAACTTCATAACACGGATGAATGCACACAAAGGCTTGATTTTTGAAACAATTATAGTGGGTAGTTTCAATCAGACAATAGATAGACCAGTCAAGCTAAAAATCAATAAAGAATTTTGAGAGTTGGAGTACATCATAGGTCAATGAATTGAACAGATGTTTACTGAATGTTCCATTCAACTGAAACAGAATACATGTTCTTCTCAGCAGCCCCAAGGACCGACTCTACAACAGACCACGTTCTAGGCTACAAAGCAAGTCTAAGCAAATACAAAGGAACCAAAATCACCTCTTCTATCTTTTCAGCTCCGAGTGCAATACGATTATGCATCAAAACGTGGAGAGAAAATCTACAGAAACTATCCAACTATACAGATACATGGAGACTGAAGAATGAACTCTTGGATTTCTGCTGAGTCTTTCAGGGAGTCAGGGAAGAGATTTAAAAGTTCTTAGTATCGGATGAAAATGAACACACAACTTCAAGGTACTTGTAAGAGGAACATTTGTAGCTATGAGTGCTTTAAAAAGTTAGAAAGATCTCAAGTAACCCAATGAAGTACCTCCAGGCAGTAAATAAAATGTGTGACCAAGTCATGCAGCGGGAGTGTGCACTCTGGAGGCAGAGGCAGGCGGATCTCCAAATTCAAGGCCAGCCTGGGGTACAGAGAGCCAGGACTACACAGAGAAACCATGTCTCGCAAAACAAAACAACAAAATAAACAAGCAAACAAATGAATAGACAAAACAAAACAGGAACAATCCAAACTCAAAAGCATTGGACAGCAAGAAATAATAAAGATCAGTGCAGAACGTAATGAAAAGGAGACAAAAAAAAAGTTTCATTGTGAGTCTACCCTTTAACAGCTGAGCCATCTTTTCTGTCTGAGAACTACACATAGAATCAATAAAAGTTGATTCTTTAAAAACATAAATAAGACAGACACACTTTTAGCCAAATAGCTAAAAGAAGAAGAGCAAAATTAATAAAATCACAGATGAAAAAGGAAGTCTACTTTTTTGTTTCCAATAAAATTCAAAAACTCATTAGGAAGGGCTTAGAAAACTCATTTAAAAAAAACTTGAAAAATCCAGGAGAAACAGTAAATTCTTAGATATATATTACCACCAAAATTAAATCAAGACATATACATACACAAATACACACACATATACGTACATACAAACAAATACACACAAACACAGACACACACACAGACACAGACACACACATACACAGACACACACACACACACACACACACACACACTAGAAATGATATATCATAGTAAAGTCTACTAACAAGGAAAATCTCAAGATCAGGTGGATTCCACATCAAACTATCAAGCTTTTTGCTTTTTTTGGGACAGTCTGTCTACGTACCTCTGGCTGTCCAGAAACTCACTCTGTTGACTAAGCTGGGTTGAACTCACAGATATCGACCTACTTTTACCTCTTGAGTGCTGGGATTAAAAACATACATACACCACCAGGCCTGGCTTTCTATGAGGCATTTAAAATATTTAAAAAAGAGGCAATGCCAGTGATCTTGTTTTATAAAATGGGAAGGAAAGTGACTCCACCAAACCCATTCCATGAAGCCAGCACTTCACTGATTCCAAAACTGGACATAGATACAACAGAGAAAGAAAACTATCATCCAGTTTCCTCGATGAACGTCTATGCAAAACTCTATAAAATTCTTGCAAATCAAATTCAAAAACGCATTAAGCAGATTGTATACCTGCACCAAGCTGGTTCCAGCTCAGGCATACAAGGTTGGTTTAACACTTGCAAACCAGGCAGTGCAGTTCACCATTTAAATAGACATAATGTCAGAAACCACAGCACCTCTCAGTCCAGGAAAATAAACACGTCAAACCAAACCAAACCAAACCAAACCAAACCAAACCAAACCAAACCAAACCAAGCCAAGCCAAACCAGTCTGTCTTTATAGAATCAGACCAGCTGGACTATGTAGTCTTTATGCAGCAGAAGCAAATCCCTTCTGTTCCTCCTTACTGGGCACCTCGCGTCAATGAACGCAGGCTACCAGGGAACAATAGAAGAAACATTCATTTTCATACAATAACACAAAAGTGAAGGATATTTGAACCAGGTGCTCACTGACACGAACTAGCTGTCACGGATTGAAGAAAAAGTGTAAAAAGTCCTTTCTTGACAGAAGCTGTGGATAAGCTGATGATGTTATCTTCTAGTCAAGACATACCATTTACCACCAAAAGCAGCTTCATTTTTACCGTTAATTTATGAAAGTTAGCAAAAGTTGTTTAAAAGTGCTATAGAAAGGATTTAAAATAAATGTAGGAAGCCTGATTTTACATTCCTTGGCAGGTTAGAGACAGAGTGAATTGCTCATGAGGTAAGAGCACCCATACTCCAATTCTATGCATAATAAATTATGATCCTCTTTTTCTCTGGTCAAAGAAGCAATATTAAAAACAATAAATTATGCTTATTACTGCACTGTGAGGTTATAACTAGCTGCAAATGAAACATGAAACCATAATTCTATTAAACATATCAATTTAATGTACAAAGGATCCATCCATATATAAACATAAGGGATGATTTAAATAAAAACATTCCTGGTAGGTTTAACAGTTTGCTTATTTCTGTTAAAACTGAGCAATGTATAAGTAACCATGACTAAATGCTATGGACTACTGATTCTCCATGCTTTACCAAGGCACTAAAAATCTACGAGCATTTTTCATAGGACAAAATATACAGTTTCATATCTTTAAACAATGCTGAAATCACTTAAAGCAAAACGTTTAATTTGAAAAATATCAACCACTGTGGCCTCTAATTAAATTTCACCATAAGTAATAAGAAGAAAATTTCATATAAAATGTAGTTGGAACATTTCGCTGCTTAATCTGACGCTTCTGACAATACTAAAGCAACCCTGGTACCTGTATATGTCATGCTTCACGCTGGCCCTCGACTTCTGCCCAGGTTCATAGTTCTCAGGCGGCATATAGATG